ATAGATATATATATATCTATAGATATATATATATATAGAGAGAGAGGAATAAGATACTGAATAATAGAATAGTGAGGCTTGGTGGGTAAAGCAGGAAAGATGTTCCTTTACGAGACCTATCTGTAGGACACCTCTGAGAAGGTGACATTTGGATGGAGATTTTAGAAAGTGAGGAATGAACTGAGCAGAACTTGGGCTAAGAACAGTGCTAGCCAAAGAAGCAGTGAGGGCCAGAACCTCAGAAGTGAATATGCTTGGGAATTTCAAGAGGGTATGATTGGAATGAAGAGATGTTGAAAAATTAGCAGCTTAGAACATTGAAGAATTCTAGAATACTGTGCTGACAGTTCCTAATCACATTGTGGTCCAAATCAGATAATACCAAGGAGGCTCAAACTAAGACCAGGGAGGATGAATGTGCGGAAAGGAAGGGTACATGTTTCCTTGTAGCATCATTCAGCAGACTGCTGGTAAAGCTGTGGATCTTTGAAGACCTGTGGGCTTTCTGGGATGCTTGTCAGGAGCAATGTGGTATGAGTAAATAAAAGAGCATTCTTTTTCAAAATTGTAGTCAAATTATTTCCGTTGTATTCTTTATCAATTCTTAAACATGCAAAATAGTCTCACAAGTTTCATCACTTTCATAATCCTTTTCTTTATTTGTGAAAGATAGCTGATGGTCCTTATTTATTTATTTATTTATTTTATTTTTTTTGCAGAACCAGGGGTTGAACTCAGGCCCTTGCACTTGCCAGGGAAGTGCTTATGCTACTAAGCCATCTCCCCGGCCCTCTGATGGTCCTCTTGAGTATACTAAGTCACATATAAAATCTTTTGGAAAGTTAGAAGGCTCCATAACATACTTTTTAAAAAATGTTCAATTGATAGTTCAGAAAAATTCAGCTTTGATGAGCTGAAAATTTTGTCCTTTTACCCATAATCTTAGCAGATCTTCTAGTATTTTACACTGTAAGTGCCAGTGCCTTTCTACTGCCATAAAATTTGCTTGACTTCATGTTTTTACATCAGAAAGAAGGTTGGGTATATTGCTACACTCTTCAGCTGGTCAGCTGAAAGTTTTTGACAAGGGTATGTTTGTGAGTAGTTGATGTGTATCTGCCAAGCGTGAAGTGAAACTTTTGACCAGAATAGTACTATTGTATTTTTAGGATGTGCAGATTCTCACATTTTTATTTTCATTTTTTTGCAGATATTTCTTGGTGGATTTTTATGCACCAACTACAACAGTGCAGAGCATAATGGAGCACTTGTCTCGGGACATTGATGTGATTAGACCAAATATTGTGAAACACCCTCTAACCCAAGAAGTAAAGGAGTGTGAAGGCATTATTCCAGTACCACTTGAAGAAAAATTATATGCCCCAAAGAAAAGGAAGTAGGAAGGACCACAGGTGTGTTAGCCTTTGGTTGACTCCTCTTACACCAAAGGAGCTTGGATGACTAGATACAAATGAGGCCTTTCTCAGAGTTTTCTAGTGGCTTTGCTTTTGCTGTTATTTTGGTAAGAAGTAGAAGAACTGCTGGCTGAGAACTCCTATTTGTGGTACTGCGCATGATTCTTTATTTTGTTCTCATTAGTGTAATTTCTTTGTCAGTGTAAACAGTAACATCATTCTGAAGAACATATGTAAAGCAGCCTTGGATGTAAGCTAATCATTCAGACTGTGTATAGCCATGCCAAAAGGAAAAATGAAGACTCCTGTATTATAGGGACAACTTTTGATCAGAGAAATAAACATAATTTTATAAACTCTACCAGTTGTGTTGTCTTTGCTTGCTTCAGCATAGAACATTGCTTGAGACCTCACAGCATTAGTCCTGGGGTGTCTCACAGTGTGGGGGCACTGAAGTTCAGGGGCAGGGAGAAGAGGTGAAGATGAATCTGTTCCTGGACTATGGGTCGATTTGCAAAGTGAGTAACTTTTCTTCGCTATGTTATTGGTCATTGTGGTAGGTGCTGCCCTTTTTTGGAAAGGTATGTATGTTCTAGGGCCTTTGGTGTCTGGCATTACTTCCTATCAGGATGACTTAATTGATGGGTGAGGGTGAGGGCTTTTTAGGAGCACTCAGATCTTAACCGCTGGGCTGGTAAACTGGGAGACTTGAGCAGTATTTCCACCTTCCTCAACCAGAGTATCCTTCAGAGGCCTGCCACCACTGCAGATGTCAGGTCTCTGTGGACAAAATGTTGGGGGAACTTCCAGGTAGTAAGAATTCCTTGTTATGATCTGTATGGTCAGATCATCTTAAAGCAGGAAGGTGTGAGATAAAACAGGTAGGCAAGAAATGCCAGTAGAGCTAGGTAGCAGCCTCTGGTCCATGGCTTCTTGCTTTTCCAAAGCTACCTTTTCTTCATGAGATGATCAGTTTTGTCACTGTGCTAATTCTTAAGAGCCCAGGCAACATCTAAGCCATAAGATCCTCTAGAGGCAGAAGGCTAGGAAAACTATTTGTGGAGCAGTAGTTGAATAAAGAAAGTCAGTAAAAAAAGAGCGTCAGACTGGAAATAAGGGATACAGTAGAAATAATCTGGGCAGATACTTCACTTATTTTATTAGGAGTTAGCTGTTTCTACAGGCTCTTGGCCAGGGCTTACACAAGAGCACAAATTACCAGGTGGATATGCTTTCTGTTACTACATGCCATATGTCACACTACACACATTCTCTGCTAGCCTTATTTAGTCCTTCCATCCTCTCAAAGGAAGATTGTTTTGCCTTTTTTTGAGGATAAGGGAACTGACTTGGCTCTACCTTGTCTTGCAGCTGAGACCTTGACTGGGATCCAGGTGCTTCCTTATCTTTCCTGTCCTCTGATACTGAGATTGTGTTCGCCTCTCGCGTTAAACCAGGTGCCTTGGTGAATAGCTACCACTCAGGTGGTAGTATCTAGCCATGTGGCCTGAGTGTGGCACAGGCACTTTCTTTTCCTGCACTTGGTCCCTGAGAAGGTGATTGTTGCCCTTTGGCATCTTGGGTCACATGCTTTCAGAAGCTGTTAGTGTTAGGAACGAGGCTGGCTAAGTAGGACAGCTGTGCAGTGTGCTTCTGGGCTCTGATTCACAGCTGTACTCTCGGCAACTTAACTGAGGCCACAGGTGTTTTCCAGGCTGCACATAAACTTTCAGAGCCTAATGTTCTGTCTTCCTGCTCAGGGTGGTCTGAGAGGTTGGTGTATTGGTCCACTCTTAAGTGAATGGGGTGAGCAACATGGTCGCATCAACAAGGTCTCTTTAACTTTGTAGCTTTCCAGCTGGTAGCTGGAAAGGTTCACAAAGCCTGTGGTGCCAAAAGGGAAGGTGCTATGGGTAGCATGTGCAGAGGGTGTGAGGGAGTGAGGATATGGGCAGAAATGCCCCGAAGATTCTTAGAGAAGAGGATGGAAGGGGAAACAGGGTCATGACAAGGCACTTAAGGGCCAGGTCTGAGGGCTGGAGACAGTTGAATAAACATGAACAGACAAGTGACAGATAAAATGGTAAGTTCAAGAGGGCAAGACCCAAGATGAACACTCCCTTTGGACTAGTACTGCACCGTCTTTGGATTGGTGGCTTAGACAACCTTGGACAGGATTCATCTTCCTGACCAGTGCTGTTGCTTTGATCTGGCTATACTTCAGGACACCATACTTGGATTTGAAAGGAATGGAGAGGAAATTGTCAGTGCTTAACCTATCTGTGGTTGTCAGGGTTGTAACATAAATGATGTTTATCCTCGAGATCCTGTGTTTTCTCTAGCACTCAAAATTATTCCTCTTTTTTTCCTGTATATTGGTTAGCTTTTGTCTGCTGTGTTCTGATATCTGAGAAAAACAACTGAAAGGAGAAAGTGTTTATCTTATTTCACAAATTTAGAGGGCTCAATGCAGTCAGTTGACTCCAAGGCAGATACATAGTAAAAAGAAGGATGGAGAAAAGGTGCTCAGCCCCTCGCGGCCAGTGAAGCAGGAAGGATTGAAAAGAGCTAGAGAAAGAAGCCAAGGACAAGCTTCCTTGACTCACATGGACACACCCAGAAGTATTCTCTCTTAGGCATCTCTCAAGCCTGTCAAGCTAACAATCAGGATTAGACAACCAGTGTCTCCTAAAAGATTTTTTATTTGCCAGCTAGTTCTCTAACTTCCTGGAGGAAAGGACAGTGCCTTATCCACCTGGGTGTAGTTCCTCTGAAGAGACAAAAGACTCATGACAGCAGCCCCTCCAGTGTCAGTGCCCAAAGGTAGTGGCTACAGAGCAATCCTGGAATGAAATAGGTCCAGTGGGAAGCACAACAAGGTGCAGGTTAAAGGCCTGAGAAGCCATTCTCTGAGGTGTGCCTCAGGGGAGCTGCCCTCTGTAACATCTACAAGTTGTGGACACACTTCTAAAGTGAACCATGGAGTGTCAAGCCAAGGAGAGCCATGAGTCTGAAGTGGACCTTGCCAACTTGTTTGAAGATCAGATTTATATTGAAAGAGATGAGATACTTGATTAAAAGATTAAGGACTATTTGAAAGATCAAGGCACACTTTGTTGTTTCTGGGTCCAACTGAGTATAACAGCAAGTGTCAGGGCAGTGGGTCTACCCAGAGCCCAGGGTATATGTTTCTTCACCCTCTTTACATCTCTGGTAGACCTATTTGTTTTATTGATAAATCACTTGAGGCTCAGAAAATGACTCACTAAAGCCACAAAGGAAGGAGTTGGAATTCAGAGCCTGCTTGTTTGATTGTATGGGTCATTTTTGTCAGCCATTAAAGCCTTTTGGCCATACCTTGCTGGAAGTTGACAGTGTTGGTCTTGAAACTCCAGTCGTGCTGTGGTGATCATCTCCCCATGGGCCCTTCTGTCTCACATCCTGGCTCAGGCCCAGGTTTTCTTGCTGTAGAAAGGTAGCCAGTGCAGCTGTGGAGCTAGGATTGCTTGGGGGTACCTTTCAGATAAGAAAGAATGATGAGATGAGAACAACATAGGTTTCTTGGATGCTGGGACTTCCTTTTTGTGCATTTCTTTCTGCAACTTCATTCCTTTTTTGTACCAGGAATTGAATTCAGAACCTTGTGCTTTCCAGACAGCTGCTGTGCCACTGAGCTGTATCACCAGCCTCTTGCACCTTCATTTCCAACAGAGCTCTCCTCACCACATTGTTCCAAGAGTGTCTTTATAGTGCATACATAGGAATACTGGGCAGTGCTCCTAAACTCTAGGCACTCATCAGGCATTCACTGGTGGATGGAGAGGAGGGAATTCCCAGCTGTCCAAAAGATGGGCCATGATAACAATTGAGATACAAACCAAGCGCTATGAAAATGGGAGGGGGTACTCATTAGTATTTGGCATGGAGGTGGGGCTGGGAAATTTTCCAGCAGAGCTGATGTTTCAGCTGGCATAGGAGCGACTAGTGCGGAATTGTGGGTGGGAGGGACAGGGAGGAGGCAATACCATAGGGAGCAGGCAAATACAGTGTGGTGTTGGAAAGGAGCTAGGAGTGTCAGAGCCACAGACTCACTGGAAGTAAGACTGAAAGGCAGGGCATAGTCCTCCAGCTGCCAGTGGATAATTTTTGGCTGCTGAGGGTTTCCTGAAGAATCATTTCCAAGAGCTTACAGGGGATCCTGTGCATACTGACTTGGAACCAAATGTCCCTCCTAATTGAGCCTTCACATTGTGAGGAAGGAGATGATTCTACAGATTCACCAATAAAAGGGGCTGAGATGAAGATTTTCATGTGTCCACTGGTAGAGTTTGCTAGAATGGAGGTGCTTACTCATGACCCCCAAATGCACTGATTGTGTTGTGAATTGTGTGTCAGGGCATTTGATATAGTTCATTCTATCTTTGTGTAGTCTGGGCTATTTCCATTTGCAGTAGGATGCTAAGCAGCATTACTGAACCTGTAATAGCCTTGTGATGCTGCCTGCCAATCCTTGCCCTGTCTTCCTGTGCCAGGGAAGATCAAGTATGGTGTTCAGGGACTTTCCAAGGCAATTTGTGAGATTCTTGGTCACCTTGAAAAAAGTGCAGTAGTGGCATAAGCATACAACTTTTGGTCGAAGACTTTTGCCAAGAGCCTGGCTTTCCCACCTAACAACTACCTAACCATGGACAGTTTTTTTTCCCCTTGGCTTTAGTTCCTTGTATAGAAAATGTGCTCAGTGAACCAGATGGTCTTGAGCCAAGTCTATCTGTCAGGTTTCCAGAGGGGTTAATCTAAGAACTTGATAGGGTAGGATATGAAAGGGAGAAAGGGCTAAAAGGATTTTCAGAGGCTTATTCTTTGCCTGGTTCTCTTTATCATCTGATAAACAGCTGTAGCTTTTATAACCTGCCAGTTCAGTGGGACTGCCTGTTGCCCTAAGTCTAAACAGAATAGGCACAAGAAAACAGCAAAGAGCCCCAGAAGTTGGCACGGTCATTTGCTGCTCTCAGATTGCTGGTGTTCTTTGTGCTGTTTGGAAATGAAGCTTGAAGGGACATGAATTTAGAGCCAAATACAGGTAAGAGGTGGTCAGTAGTCTACAGAAGGAAAATTTATAACCAAGTGGTGGCGAAGTTTAATTTTTGGAGAACTCCATAAGTCCCCAAATCAACCTCTAAATAAATTTATTGTAACAGTAGCAATATCCAGCAACCCTGGACAGTCCCAAATTTCTTGTATCCAAGAGAAACTAGTAAGAGTTAGACTCTGAGAAATCAAACCTCACCTCCAAACTGTTCAAGTTCCCTAGACTGCTAAAAGGCAGAAT